GTTGCTACTTCGAGAGTTTACAATTTGAAATAAAATCCATATCTTCTATCAGCATTTTATAGACAGTAAGTCTATTAATTGCAAACAGGACAAAAGAAACCATGACCTATGCACAGACACAGCTTATTGGTTGAGGAGGACCTCATGGATATACTGAACTCAATGTTACTTGTGTCTCTTGTCTCTCAACTTTCATCGCTCTATTATTTTGATCTCTTTATAAGCAGTTACTGGTAAGAGTAGATGTTGGAATCAGACAATGAAAATGGGACAGAAAAAAATCACCAATGTTTTATCACTGTTTATCAACAAAAACTTACTTTTGTGCTAAATTTCACAGACTTAGATGTAGAACTTGTATTGTCATTGTATAGTTACTTGCACCATTAAATTATGTAACAAGACCACAGGGTTTGAAAATAAAAGACAATATACAAAAGAAGAAGAAAGAAATACATAAACACTATGTACACTCAAATATAATAAATAATAAATAAATAAGGGTGGAAGGGCTATGAAAATTGCACATCTGCTAAAATATTGCACAAAGGAGAAAAAAAGGGAGACCTTTGATTTAGTAAAAAAGTGCTTTTGTTATTTTGCTTGTAGTATAATGACTTCAAGATGAGTAACTGGGCTGTGTCCAGATGACATGGTAGCTTTCATCAAGAGCTAAGAAGAAAAAGTCAACAATTCCCAGCTTGTCTTTCAATTGAATGTCCAGATTTCCTGCAATGTTCTTGATCTCTGTTGTTACTGTTACTCCTGGAAAGGAGCACATTTCCAAATGGTTAAAAATAAATTTAACATAATTAAATACTTTTTTCAAATGTGATATTACCGTGACACTCTACAAATCAGTCTTTCACCGTTTCATTTTTTTCTATCAGAGAATGGCTTAATATAAAAAGTGTGTGTTGCTATGCCCCCCTGTCCCCCTTTTTTTGTTGCAGACATCTAGAATGAGTCCTATAAAGAATAAACATCTCTTGGTTTTGCATCATGTTGTTGTCGTCCTCCTTTTTCTAACACAAACTTGTGGTGGTAAGTTGCACACAAAAATTTATAAAATCCACAATTTAAAGTTCTTACCTGTAGTCTTACACAGAAGATGAAAACACACACTGTAACAGCACCAGTTTATGTTGATGTAGTTAAATAAATCAATTACATATCTTGCTCAGACTGATCTTCACAATTACAAAACTGCTGAACTGTATGTGTCCCTAAATTTATTAGGTCAGCATCAGATGATTGGTCCAACTCAGCCAGTAGTGGCCATGATTGGTGATGACATCATTTTGCCATGCCACCTGGAACCTGCTGTGGATGCTGTTGACCTGACTGTGGATTGGTCCAGAACTGACCTCAAACCTAGATCTGTCTATGTGAGGCGAGAGGGTGTGGAGCTTCTGACTGAGCAGAATCCTTTGTA